ATAAAATAAAAGCACAAAACTCAAAAATTAAAACTTGTTTAAGGCTAGAATATTGCTTGCTATTAATTAGTCGAAGTGGTAAAAAAAAAGGTCACGGCAACCTATGTTACACAAAGAATAATTACTAATAAGATCGTCGGGGAGGACATGTCCAGTGACTGTTAAGTTATGCACCTAAATTAACCTAAACTAACCCTAACCAACCCTAACCTAACCCTAACCTAGTCGAATGATAGTCATGTGATATTGTGATGATCACTGGGCTAACTCTTCTTAAATCTTCCCCAAATATCTATAATATATTAAATGCAAAAGAAAAATCCTCACGACAAATTAAGCATGCTTTTTTAATCCGTTTCATATTATTCTTAAATTTGAGGAACTAATACTGCGAGAGAAGTTAGATTTCACTTTCGTACAATAAATTCCTATTGAAAAGTGAAACATACATTCGTGTAATATATATTAGTTTGATTTAATTAGTTGACCGACCACGTCGCACCAGCAACCATACGCATTAATGGAAATGCTGTCTATTGACATACAAATTCGTTTGCCTATATGATTGATTATTTAATAGTTTATAAAACTTTCAAATCGTTTAACCATATAATATATATAAGCGGTAACTAATAATGGTTCCAATTCTTACGACAATGGCTTTACTAAATTTTTATTCATTATCAATTTTTTTAATTCTTGGGTTTGTAAATCAAGTAATCAGCGATAGTCCAGGAGCAAGAGAATGTCATTGTCTTTTTACATATGATAATGCAGTCTACTTATTTGGAGGTGATATCAAATGGAATAATAGTACAGTAAATTCGTTTTTTCATAAAGCAAATATGCCATTTACTATCTCTTCAATCCCATGGGAAGCCCTTGATACTACCAATGCTTTTAATACTTGCGATATGACATGTGTCGTTGAACCTTCATTGAGTTTGCTGTTAGTCATTGGCGGGTCACCTCCAGACTATGTCAAATTCCTCCAAATTTATAATTTCAATTCAAATGTTTGGAATGATGAAAAAAATGAAGCTCAAAATTTGAATAGCTATCCTACAGAAATTGATCGAATTTTTCAACCATGATCTGTTTTAATTGAACCGAGAGTTATACTCGTCTGGGGTGGTTTACCTTATGATTCTCCATTTCGTGTTATTTATAAATTGGACATGACAGTGAATCCATGGAAATGGGAATCGATCGAACAAAATGCAAGTATAATATTGATTATTAACCGTCACTGAATCTGAAACTAATGCACCTGATTAGTTATCATAATTGGTGATCGACCTAATCGCTTAGCGCTATTGATTAGTTTCAGCTTCAGTAAAATTTCAACATCAGCGTGACATGATAAAATAACTTCTATATATTATTATAGCCGTCAATAATTCTGAATTGTGTTGGAATTGCTCGTTCAAGAGAGAGCGTGTTTTTTTTCGGTGGCATAGATAGAGATATTTCGATTATAGAAAATGGAGAAAATAGAGAAGGAGTCCCAAGTGGGTTATCGTATATTTATAATATTACGGGATCACGTATTATTCAGCCGAGCTATCAGCCTCCCTTTAATTTTACCCATTCAGTAGTAGGGTTATCGGCAATTTTATGCACATTATTGTGTTAAGCTATAATGATTATCTTGAGGATAAACAAATATCTATCATTCCCTTTAATTTTGCCCGATTTAAATTTGAAAGTCCCGTTGTAACATCTACTAATTTGACAAAAACCCGATTTCGTGCGGCCGGAGTCCAGCCTTCTGGATCAGACGTAGTATTGGTAAATATATATATATATATATATATTCTTGCTTTGCTTTATTTTAAATTTCTGATCTTTTACTATATATCATTTAATAGATATATGGTGGTATTATTTATCAAAATTCAAGTGCACCCGAAACCGGTACTACATTAGACACGATGTTAGTATATAATATGACACTTCGTTCGTGGACAGACACTGTGAATCTTGTAACAGATGCTTCAGCCTACAATTTCGACTTTTCTAATACAATCAATACTTCAAGCCTTCCAGCTTTTCACTGGCCAATAATGGCAATTGTCATAACTATAACTCTTGCCATCATAGCAGCTTGTATTATAGTTTTTATAATTTTCTTAATTAGAAGATTAAAGGAACTTCAATCACTCAAGTTTATGGGAGTATAGGTTTAAATGAGTGAGGTTTTGTCAATGTTAGTAACAGTAAGATATTGTAGAGTTAGAATGTTTTTACATATTGTTGACGATATTTTGGGTTTCTCTATTAATAACTATTAATAAACCGGTGGCGTTTTTGTAAGCTGAATCTTATGTATCAATCAAAGCTTATAATTTAGACATACAAATAATAGAATATGGAAGTGTTAAAAGGATTTGAAATATTCCTAGATAGATCAGAGTTTGCCGAAACTACTGCTTGATTATTTTAACTGTAATCTGAATTACGTGTATTTCAGGATCTTGTATTTATTTTAAGCGGCATATTTTCATGTATATCTTATGTTTTAATCGTTTGAATAAGCTCCTAAAATTATTTTTTTTGGCTGTATTTACTTTTTTCAATCTTTCCTCACAATATTGCAACAATATAAACAAAAAGTTGTTAATAATAAGAGGCATCAACGTGGACTTCCCTTAAAGTCACACGATGCAAATCAAATATCA